ACATACAAAAAAATTGGCGGCCCATCGAAACTGCCCAAAGATTTTCCATGGCCCATCCCAAATCACTCCAGCCCACCCTAGCAGTTACTTTATGACTGGTCCCTAAATAACTTGCTGGATTCTTAACGTTTTTACCAACATTCTGAATGAAAATAATTCAATGTTTGAAACTGATTATCTACAACGTTGTATGGGGATCACATTATCTTAGGGAACGTAAAATTGAGACAAGGGGGCAAAATGAAGCCGGTTCCTCCCAACTTCACCAACTCACTAGGTGAAGTTTGCGCGTCGTTTTTCATGTCTTCTCACCCTTCCGTTCCTCCCTGATTTTCCCACTAAAAATCTTACTTTTCTCACAATGGGTCCTACGTGAATTTTTCCATTCCCATGCAGGCTCTTGTTGTCTGCGAATTCTCTCCGCAAAATTGAAGGCGTAGTGTAAAACACTGGGTTTTTTATTTTTTATATTTGTAGTCTAAACATGAGAGGAGTCCGCGTTTGTGCGAGAAATTTTGCTAGAAATGAGCATCGTGTTTACATTAACCCTAATGAAGCCAATCATGATCAGCTCAAGTGTCGGAACGTTGGTCGTGAAAATTACTTCCAGTTGAGCTGACCTTAAGTCTTGAATCGGATTTGCAGTTACAGAGAATATTTTTCATTGAAGATAAATTAATCGATATAGAAATGGCTATAAAAACATATATTGAGTTACATTATGCAAGAAACAGAAAACGACTTTTCTTGTGTTTCATTTATAGAAACACTTGCGGTATTTTGGGGAACTCGATAAAACGTCGGGGAACTCGGATTTTGGGGAACTCGATAAAATTTGCCCTAATTAGGCTGGGATCGTTTTGCCACTGATTATTTCTCGTTCTCCAAAATTCCCACGCGTGCTTCTATAACTATATACATGTATAGAAACAGGGAAAATGTTTTCTATTTCTGAAAAGTTTGAAATGTACAACTTACGAGGTGTCCCGGCCGTATACGACCAAAGGTCTCCGACAGAGTGCACCATCATCAGTGTATTCAGATTCGCATTTTTGCCAACAAACGGGACCAACACCATAGTAACTCTTTTCGCATTTCGGATAACACAGCAGGCCATTTTTCTCCATTTCCGATTTGCAGGAACTTAATATTTTACCAACTCCTCTGCCATAGGTATCTTTTTGACATGAAATGCCAATATTTGTAGTTGCTGGAGGGCATTTGGCCCAACATACCGGTCCTTGACCGTAATTACTGTAGCCTGCTTTGCATCTTGGGTAGCAGAGAAGACCATCTTTGATTGGATAATCATCATAACAATCTTCGTCGTGGTTAAGGTTTTGCAAAGCACGTCGACTCCTTCGAAGTCGAGGGATGGGTTGATTACTTATATCCTCAGACATCTGGTCTATATAAAATAATATATTTATAGTAGGTTAGATTTCATCAGATTTGTAGTACAAACTGCATTGAGATAAAGTATGGTGGCGCAACGGTAAGTGTGTATGACTGATCTGGATATAGCAACCTGTTGAATTCAGGAAATTAATTTTGAAGCCAAAATATTTATAATGAGGAGTTATTTTTAAATCCACAACATTCTTCACGAATCAAATACGTGTTTAATTTAAAATAGTTAGATTATCATGTCAAATATCTTCCACTGCGTAACATGAAAGATATAGCTTCCCAGACCACTTCCAATGCGTTTTTGATCGTTTTAAGCACGAGATAATGACACTTGAGGCGCCCATACTTTTATGACCTCATTGTTTATTTACAGGCAACCAAGAACCTCGTGCATGTCACACCAGTGAACTCAATGTATTTTAATTTACCTGGAACGATAACACTCAGTAAAAGAGTGAAGCCTCGTGTGAGCAACGCGTCAGGAGTGGCGTTAGCCCTCCACGCCATCTCCATTTTGTCTTAGTCCCCCCACCCGCCAATTTTTTTCACTGAGCGATCAGCACGTCAATCTCAGTTTGGTTTCCGTTATCGCTTGCGTAAGTTTGCATTGTTTTTTTCTAAAACAAATTTAAAAACAATAGTTTTTGGCATGACATTTTTGCCTACTTTTTTGCGTAAGAAAGATTACTAAAAAAGAGTAAAAGTAAAAAGATATTTTCATAACCAAATAAGTCGACTAAAGCAAGTTTTTTTAGTGGTGTTTTTTAATTAAATTTGTTTTTGAGAAAGAAAACAGTTCAAACTTTAATATGCAAACTGAGATTGACGTATTGACCGTGCAGTGAAGAAATTGTAGCAGCTGAACTTCCAGGTAAAGTAAAATAAATTTAGTTCAGTGGGTCACACCAATATGGCCGCCATTGGCTTCATTTGTGCATTCGCAGATGCTCTATCCAGCCCCAGTTTTTGGGACCAGTGGTGTATGCTTCTCCCCCAGCGAGCGAAGGTTGACTCCAGTAATTCTTTTCAATCGCATGCGTGAAAACTGTTTCGAGTTTTTCTACGAAAAATACATATAGGTTACTCCAGGGTTCCATTTGTAGTATAGCATTGGATTTAGGTGGCTCGGTCGTACATGCAGTTTTTTTTTAATGGATTTAGATCCGTATTTTGGACAATTGTTATTACCTGTACTTGTTGAAAAACAAAGATTGCCTTACTTATGGAAGACAACGTCTAAAGAGTTTAAAATAATTCTGTCAACCCAAAAGTGCAAAACAATTTTATTATGACTAATCACGTTATCTATAAACTTGAGACGTTTTGGGTCAACAAATGTTTTCTAAAATTGTCCAAAAATACGGATCCCAATCGTAAATGTTCCAATTTTTTAAAAAAATGTGCATTTTAGCCAACTGAAACAAATATAACATTGCCCTTTCTGGATTTTACATTAAACTGAGGAATTGGGAATGAAACACGCAGGCTTATCGAGCACGCACCAACATTTCGTCACAAAAAAGTTATGGGTACCACATATAAGAAACACCACTGGGCAGAAAGAAATGACATGTTTAGGACTCCAGACGTAACCTCTTCATCATGTAAATCGTGTAAATGAGCAAAGTTTGCCTGTGCATGCTCGAGATTAGCAAACACAATAGCACAGAAAACCGCGGAGCTCAACCTGACAAAGTGACAAACAGTTTGCCGATGGTGGTTTAATATATACAGGGAAGCGATAACGTCTCTTTGTAAGTTTCCTAAACCAAAAATTAGTGGATGAATTAATATATTGGACTTTGCTGCACGTCATCAATTTTTTGCATACAATGGCAGAATTTAATATCCCATCCTGGTTCCTAAAAGAATATGCCCAAGCTAGATATTTCACCCATGTTAGCTGATATTTATCAATGCTCCATAGACACAGGAATCGTGCCTTTTAAGTGGAAAAATGCAAATATATGTGGGATCATCAAAAAAGGGAAAAAATCAGATCCGGTTAATTATAGACCTATTTCACTGACTTGTATCGCCTCTAAGATATTGGAACATATAATTCACAGTCATGTTATGAAACATTTGCAACAAAACAACGTGCTAACGGACTGTCAACATGGATTTAGGGCAAAAAGATCAACCGAAACCCAACTTATTGTAACCATACATGATCTGGCGAATACAATTCAACGTGGTGAATCAACGCACGTTGCAGTCTTGGACTTTTCGAAAGCTTTTGACAAGGTACCCCATCAACGTCTTTTGAGGAAACTGCATTATTATGGAACTTGTGGAGAGCTACTTGATTGGTTCGAGTCTTTTCTTTCACAACGTTATCAGTCTGTTGTCTGTGAAGACAAAGCATCTAGCCCCCTACTTGTGACGTCAGGAGTTCCCCAAGGGACAGTGCTTGGCCCGCTCCTATTTTTACTGTACATTAATGACTTGTCGGACAACTTACAGTCAACTGTGAAACTTTTTGCTGGTGATGCCTTATTATATGATGTCATTACGAGTGATTCAGATTGTGACCGCCTACAGGATGATCTACATAAGCTGGAACAGTGGCAAAATTAATGGCAGATGGAATTCAACCCCTCAAAATGCAAAATCTTATGCATTTCCAATAAAAAGCATCCTCCCCAAAAGAGGTATTTGTTTTGTGGAGTAGAGCTAGATCAAGTAGAAGAAATATCTTACATGGGCATTACTTTCACTAGTAAATTAAAATGGAATCACCATGTCTCATCGGTGGCAAGTAAAGCAACAAACGTTCTGGGTGTCATGCGACGTAATCTGTGGAATTGCCCCAAGAAAGTGAGAGAAACAGCATACAAATCCATTGTACGACCCAAGCTAGAATACGCATCAACAGCCTGGGATCCTTATACTAACAAGGACAAAGTGGCTTTGGAAAGAGTGCAGAGAAAAGCAGCGCGTTTCTGTTTCAAGAACTACAATCCTATGTGAAGTGTCACTGATATGATCAAAGATCTAAATTGGGAAAGTTTAGAAGTTAAAAGAAAGAAAGCTAGATTGACATTGTTGTACAAACTCTCTCGGAATCTTGTAGACGTTGAGACAAATAACTACTTGCTGGTAAATAATGAGACCAGAACTCGTGGTAGCCATCGCTATAAATATAGAGTCCCCAAAACTACCAAAGATGTTTTTAAATTTTCCTTTTTCCCTCGCACGATTAGGGAATGGAACTTACTTCCCGAAGAAATTGTGAACTCAGAGAATCTCCTCCAGTTTAGAAACAATTTAAGCAATTCTTTTTAATAACAGTAACTATTGTTGTAAATATAGATTTTTAGAATAGGTATAGTTATAAATAGTTGGTGTGTTATTCGAAAGGATTTTACCGACTTAACACATATAGATGTAGATGTAGAAAGTCCTTTTCTGTAAATATATTGAATTTGCCAGTTATCCAAATTTGTACAAGATTGGATTTTGGTATTTAGGATTATTAATCTATCGTATTTTTTTGGATATATATGTTTTGAGAAAGAAAATACGAATAATTTTTAAAATTTACTGAGGAGTACGGATTATTGGGACACCCCCGTCCACCTTTGTAATTACGGCCGCGTATGTGTATATGTACTCACAGTGCAAATTTTTCTAATCAAAACAAGATGGCGCCCACAGCCAATTATAGTAAACTGAAACTAGGGTTTTGAACAAATACAACGCCTTAACGATTTAACAATTTAAAAATATTTAGAGTGGATATAAACCATGCTCTTACCTACATTAAAATCTGATGGTCTTATGGTCTGATGACAGAATCGAAATATAACCGTTTAAAATTTATGTCTTGCTTTTAGCTTTTGGCCTACACAGTATATATTGGGCTTTTCAAGATATTTTTATTTTCCAGGTTTTCTTTTGCACTTTATCGCCTATACTAACATTAAACTTTTTAATCTACTCGATTTTGTTACCACTATCTTGTTTTTCTTATCTCTCACATTGCACAAATGTTTGATGGAACGTCTTCCGAACCCGATTATCAAAAGGATAGTTTTTCGAAACCTCCCGCCAGGAACCTACAGGAATTTATGGACAAAATGTCATCTTCGAAAAAGTTACAAACCTTTGTCTGCGGATGTTGTTGCTATGGCAACTAACAGATGGATGCAGATTAGAGTCAAAATACTTTTCATTCTCTTGAACTTGAGATTCGCAAATTTACTGGAAAAGAAACGAGAATGAGATATAAGAAAAAAGAGCATCATTAACTTTTCACGCCTGTCAAAAAATGCATACAAAAGCGCCAATATGCTTCAACTTCTTTAACTTTCATCCTGTTTCTACTAAATTTCCCATTGACATAGAACATGTCATTCTTACAAATCGTATGTGTTTTCTTTTTTGAATTGCTACATTTTTTGCGGGAAAATGACGTCACAAAGTTGACGCTAAAAAATTAGCAGTAAGCTTTTGGTAATTTTATGCACTTGTTCGGTAGACGACCTAGGGAGAGTCTTAAAACTGAAGTCTGTTTCTAAATACGAATTATTATTAGGCCCTATTAGTTTAAATTCGCGAAGATATAGCGATACAAATGTCGAAAAATCGGCCATTTTGTTACTAAAAAAATAGAAGAAAATGGCGGATTTGGGGAAATTTTAGTCTTTATATCTTCGCAAGGAATGATTGTATTTAACATAAATTTTTGCACAAAATTACGAATAACAGTAAATTAATTTTTTGGTGCCAAGTTTGTGACGTACTGTAACTTACCCGCCAAAAAGTAGCAATTCCAAAAACAAAAAACATTTGTAAGAATGTTATGTTCTAAGTTCGTGGGAAATTTTGTAGAAACAGGATGAAAAGTAAAGAAGTTGAAGCATATTGGCGCTTTTGCATGCATTTGGGACAGGCAATTTTTCTTATCTAGACCAACTATATGAGGGTGTTGATGGGGTATATCGTGAGTCGTGATTCACTCAATTTTGGTTACCGTCAGTAGTGGAAACACTAAAAATTTACCGTGAAGCGTGAGGAAAAAAATACTGTTTATCGTTTCCGAACACTTTTCAAAGATTTACCGTTAAAATACCAAAATATTACCGTTAAAATACCAACATTTTTACTGTTTACTGATTTTCAGAAACACCTCCCCCCCCCCCATTTAGACCCTCCTATGTGCAGAGGCGTAGCCAGGGCTGGGGCCGGGGGGGCCTCCCCCCCCATGGCAAAATTTTGCCCCCCCAGGCAAAATGTTGGGGGGCCCTGATAAATTGTATTGTATAAAAAAGGGAAACCTTGATTATATAGGTTCATGCTGTCAATAATGCAAAAATTCTGTAGAATATATGCTTTGCTGGGCATCGGTGTGAAACCTAAAATCACTTGTTCGCTTATTTGCGGAACACAGCTTGAAACACATACCTTTTCTAACCCTAATTATTTCAATATGTATTAAATGCGGGTTAGATGAAGTTTAAACCAATCTGTGTTTTTTACAAGTGAATTTTTAATGCGGGCTCGGCAGTGGCGCCGTGGCCGGAGGGGAGGGGGGGGGGGACCTGTCGGAAAATTGCCAATACAGAGTTTGAGCAAGACAACGAAAACGAAGGCGTACTTGCCAATTTTTGCCGTCTGCACATTCTCTTGCGCATACTGAGTTGGACGTCACTGGTGGTTGCTCAACGTGTCTTCCCATGTGTCGCTGTTTATGCATACTGACCCTAATTCTTGCCCTGACCCAGAAAAAAACAGCGAGAATGAAACTATATCCCGTCTTTGTCCTTCTGCCTTCGTTCAGAACGAAGTTCACAGCGAATTTTGCCAAAATTTTTGCGAATTTTTCGTTGTGAACGAAGGCAGAAGAACGAAGGCGAGATATGGATTCATGTCTCGCTGTTTTGTCTTGATCAGGGTAAGGATTTGGGTCAGCATTCATAAAGAGCTAGACATATTAAATCTCTAATCTGTCTTCACCTCTGACTCTAAACTCAGAATTCGTAAGATAATGTGCAAGACAGGCAAAAATTGTCAACCACGGTCTACGTCGTCGTCGTTCTCTTGCTCAAACTCTCTAATGTTAGTCGGAATCTTCGTGGTGAAGCATCGGAAAAAGTGATACGGAAATTGGGAAAAGTGCTACGAAAGCAATTGTAATGTTATTGTCCAGAAAAATATTTTACCGAAAAAGATGTCGACGGGGAGGGGAGATTTAAAATGTTGTGTTGTCCGCAAAATTTTTTCTTGCGCGAACTTTGCGTCTCGAGTCACTGGCGGCTTGGCCCCACCTGGGTTTTTGCCGACCCCCTCTGATCGAAAATCCTGGCTACGTCTCTGCCTATGTGCATGCTTGACTGGTATAAACATATAACTATAAGATTGCAGTGTTATCAATTCATTAGTGATAGCTATTGATTAATTGCAAGGTAGGAGTTTTTATATATGCTTGTTCACAGCTGGTTGCCTTTTGTTTGTGTCTATACTATAGTTCAATAAAAATGAACTCTCGAAATAATAAATATTGTAGATTTTTCATGTATTAAGCATTGATTACATCGCTTAATTTTTTTGCCTTTCCTGAGAATCTTCCATTAGCTATATGATCGAATATCTAACATTGGAATTCACATATATTATCTTTATATATAACTAGTACTCATCTTATTGTCGGGGGTGGAAGCGGAATACTGAATGTGAAATACTGGGTTTTAAACTACAATCAGTGACATTGAAAGGTCGGTCGCTTAGATTGGAAAGTTATTTTTGTAAACAATTGCAAAAATAACATGTAAAAACCCCATCCGCCATTTCAATGTTGCTGCGGGTGCTCGGGGGAGGCCAGGGGTTATGTTGCAATCTCAGCCTAACCGGATATTTTGTTACCGATTGTCTGAGCATTTTACTGCATGGTTAATGCAACTGAAATGTTTGTAACTTCAAAACCATACAAGGTAGCTCCACGACACTTCCAGCAACTCTTAAGCATTAACTGAAATTGTCAATGCCGTACAACACTATAATATTAATTATATTGCATCATAGTAGTTGACTAGTTGCATATTTGTTAGCCGACATCAAGCATTGGCTGCTAAAAGTAGTTATTCACACGCGGAAGTATATAGTCGAGACATAAGATTGAGGTTTACGGCAGCGGGCAGACTGCCAACCGCAAACGGCAAAGTTGATTTCAACAGTTACAGCGGCCGTTACAACCATGCCGGGAAGACTAACTGCAATACATTTTAATTCTAAAAATCACGGCAAATTTACAAAGATTTTATGTAGCACATTCCGATTATACTTTTACAATAATAAGGAGTAACCTAATAAATATATAAGAAAAGATTGAGGCTTAAAACTGTAATAAAGTTAACGTCAAATAAAACTATAGACTGTTCAACTATACAACTACAAAACAGTACCTGACGGGTCGATCTCACACTCGAACGTTGCTTAAAATCATTTTCGTTCACTCGCTTTCCAACGTGTTTGTTTATCTGTCTATAACTACTACTATCTCGACTGTCCGTTTCAAGTTACAATGGAGTGCGGTAACTAAGTTCTATTAATAGCGTATGTAATAATTAACTAACTAATAACGAAACTGTGTCAAGCTACGGAAATATACAAATAAAATGTCAATTGTTCAAAAGAACCAGAACGCAAGCATTTAGCCTGCCATAGCGTTCTATAACCTGACACCAATATACATGCGAGTTTGATAGTTTGCGACATTTCAAACATACTCGCAATGTATGCACAGGAATTTTAGATAAGTATATAGTAGGTAGCGCAAAACGATATACGAGTTTATGAGAAGAATTACAGGTAAACTACGCGAAGCGTTCTTCTTTTGACTTCCTAACTCATTTGGAATTTTCCTCATTAGCTTTGCAAATTTGCGAAAAACTCTTTGCAAACCCTTGATGGAATTTACAATGTTCCTATCGGCTGTTGCAATATTCCATTGCAAAAATCTTCATTTTAAATTTTCCTAACTTCCTGTTTTAATTTCCTGACTTCCTCTTCTGTTCTGAGCGTTGCCATTGGTGTATTATTTTTGTTAGCCAATTACAACGCACAGAACGGAACAGGAAGTTAGGAACTTGTAACAGGAAGTTAAGGAACAAGAAGGGCGTTTTTTAAATTAAATTGCAAAGGTAATGAGGAAAATTGCAATCAATTTAGAAACTCAAAAGAGGAACGCTTGACGTAGTTTACCTGTAATATAAACTTGTGCGTGCTAATGATAACTTTCTGCTGTCAATGCTTAATAAAGATTTACCTGTTATGACGCAATCAAATCAATACTAGAATATTATGCGACATTCAATACATTAGTTAATGCTAACAGTCGTGCCAATAGAAGCGTTCCGAAAAATGTTGATCAATTCATTTCCTAACTTCGAGCAATTCCTCTGAACAATTCCTCAACAATTTGATAAGTTCCTTAAAAAGTTCCTAACTTCCTGTTTCATTGACCAATCAGATTGCTCAAAAATAAAATACAAAATCTGATTGGTCAATGAAACGGGAAGTTGGGAACTTTTTAAGGAACTTATCAAATTGTTGAGGAACTGTTCAGAGGAATTCCTCGAAGTTAGGAAATGAATTGATCAACATCTTTCGGAACGCTTCTATTGGCACGACTGTAAGACATGCTAAAAGTTTCACTCAGCTAGCATGAACAGTTTTGAAGTTACGAACATTTCAATGCATTAGCAGTAGAATAGTCACAGTTATAGTCCCGCTGACATCAGCATTTTTCACACAGCTCTAACCCCCAATCTCGAACCCTGAGCCTGCAATCCTCTGTGGAAGCTTCCTCGTGTTCCGGAAACACTGGCGAATTTTGCACGAATATTTGTTGAAGAAAGTGAACCTGATTTAGCTGAAGTTTAAGAAGCAAGCGAAAGGGTTGTAAAGAAATGGAATGTCAGAATCAGCTGGAAAATATTACTATGCTATGCCGTCATAATGTATGCAAATTTTATAGCAGATTTGTGTCCGGTTGTTGAAAGCAGGATTAGGGCTCGCCGGTTAAAATTTAACCCGTTGTTTTAGTTTATATATTTCTGCACGCCTGTTTATTTCAAACCAATATTTCTGAAGAAATATTTTCAAATCTATAAACAAGGATTACGCTAATCTGCTTTCGAACATCCGGCTCCTGTGACCACCGTTGTCATCGACTCTCATGCACTCTCACCAACTTTGAGCTGGTTTAAATTTTGATGAGAGTGCGTAGGAACCAAGTGGGGTACAGGGGCACGTGCCCCTCTGCCCCCCCCCACAATATTTTCAAAGGACCAGAAGTGCTCTTTTTGTGATGATAAGTGTCCTTTTTGGGTGCCCTTTTTATTATCCAATAGTGCCTCTGATAGCTGATAAGAGTTTTTTCTGGTTTGACTGATCAATTTCATTCTCGTTTGACCATGGCTTAAGGAGTTTTCAGTGTGAGAAAATACGTTAATGATAAAACGACATACACACAAATTGTATTGACAGTGAAAGAATTTATCAAAATAAGGTTTTTTACTATAAAGACATATTACTTTTATTCTTAGAGTGATCCAAATACCATAAATATTCAGTTACTGGAATATCTTGCCAACGAATAATTCAATATAGACAATTTATTTAAAGTTTGTTCGTTCACTCCAATTTAACCAGGTATTTAAGTAAATTATTACAAAGCCCAGTCGAATTGTAACGAATTGAAACGAATCGAATTGAAACGTTGGGTCTTTATTACAATTTCAATTCGACTGGGCTTTGTAATAATTTATTTAAACCAGAGTAGCGAGCGAAACAAGACAATTTATTTATTGTGAAGGGGGGCGTGGGTGAATAGGCGCATACAAATCCGCCGATCCGCCCAAATTTGAAGCAAAATCCGCCGACCCGACAATGGTTTTGTCTAAATTTTGATCCGCTAAAAGCTCTACTATGAAGTTACAATCCAGGATCCGAACTAAATTACAAGCAAAAACCACAAACCGAGCCAAAATACTAGATAAATCCGCAATCCGCTGTACTGTAATAAGACCCGCAAATCCGGGTAAAATATTCACCAAATCCAAAATCCGAACAATTTCTTGGGCGGAATCCGACGATCCGAAAACCTATTCACTCCCCCCCCCCCACCCCCATTTTAGTAAAATATGTTCACTGTGGTCCATGCTTATTGAAAAATTTGGGCAGAAGTTTGGAGGGGAAACTCAGTGATGTTTTGATAGAGTCAAGCTGGAAGCACTCTTCGCACATACCACTGAGAAAAAAAAATTATATTCAGACAACTGCATGTGTATTGCAGGAATCAAAGCCTTAATTGTCACAGAGATAACGGCAATGCCAGTGCTTCTTGGTTGCCTGATCATTGGGCAAGTTGTTTTAATGTTGTTTTCCAGAAATTGAAAGCTATACACAAAATTTTTTGCTTGTTTATGAATTCTGTTTTTAATTCTATATTACTAGGCCAATTTACACTAAACAACGTTTGCATAGAACTGTCGCATGCAACCTGTTTCCAGCTTGAGTTGTACTGTGTAAATCAAGCATGCATAACTCACTTACGATAACGTAGATTAGTTGTATGCTTGATTTACACAGTACAACTCACGTTTTAAGGAGGTTGCATGCGACAATTCTGGGCCCAAAAATTGTGTAGTGTAAAGCGGCCATATAGATATCTTATATACACTAGATAGCGCATCTCTTTTAGTAAAATTGAAGCCAACAATATTCCAGCGGTTACCTCCCATTTGAATAGATGGCGGCCATGTTGGTCGTTCGCACTTGCTAATGAACGCTTAAAAACAACAATAATTTTCATCATTTGAATATTTTAAAAACGAATTTGGAATAGGGTTAACTTAATGTTTAAGTTCCCTGTTTAAGAAATAGAAAACATACGAATCTTCTAATTTCATGGGAACGACCTGAGACTGCAATCACGGCTTCAATTTTTGAACTTCAGAATAATTAGATGCACTATCTAGTGTATATAAGATATCTATGAAAGCGGCCTCTAGTAATTAATCAGCTGGATTCAACACTTCTGCATAATTAAGTCTTCAAGTGACTTTGTTAATTAAGGAAAACCGAAGATTAGAATGTTGATTAATCAATCCTTACTGCAATCTTTGCTTCAAATTTTGCTCATTTGTAAGGATAAAAATATATATGATGCCTTGATGGCAAGTGAATTTTATTCCGAGCAACTAATTTTCATGTATAACTTCCCTAATCACTGATTACACGTCTACACTACTGTCTCTTTGGTTCCATTTTATTTGCAGATCAAGGTGGGCCTTGGAAGCTGCTATTTTATAAGCGATTATCGGTTCATGATGGCCTTAGTAGCGCTTTATTAAGCAATGAGTAATAACATGCTGCATACGAAATGTATAAATACACCCTTTCGATAATTACGTCATTTGACCTCGGAGCCTCGCTCTCATGAATCGTTAGCCAATCACCTTGAGTAATTTACTAATGAGAACGAGACTCCATGAAGACCAAATTAAAAAATGTGTATTCTGAATGTCATTCTGTGTCGCTCAAAAGACTTATTTCCACACAGGGATTTAAACCAATCTAAACAACTTGGGCCGATTGTTCAAAGGTGGATTAGTGCTAACCCAGGGTTTAAAATTTAACCCACTGTTTTAGTTTGCATATTTCTGATGTCCATTTATTTCAAAATATCAGAAAAGAAAACTTCTATTGATCCAGACATGATTTGTGAAGAAATATTTCCAAATTTATAAACAAGCTGTGAGGAAGTTTGCTTTGAATTTTAAGTTAACCTAGGGTTAAGCTAATCGGATTTTTAACAACCGGCCCCAGAGGTTTGACCAAACAGAGAGACACGTTTATGAATTGCCACCAATCAGAAACCTGATTTCAATGCTAATTGCATTCCGGACCAAATTCACATGCAAATTATATTCAAATTTAGGGCGGTTTAAAGTTTAAACCAGATATATTTCGCCCATTGCCTCATGCAATTTAGTACATACAAGATCCAAATACGATGCTGAAAAATCTCGAAGAAGCGCAAATTGAAAGTCAAAGACGGTACTAAGGTATGTTCTATCTACTTTAACTACTTTATGTGAAATATTCATATTTGGACGAGTAAAGTGTTCAAAATTATTTGCAGAAATTGACGGCGTCTTCGACTTTCGTCTTGTATTGGCACGAAGATGCTGAATTAAGCCTTGCTTTTCATAATCTTTCGTTTAAAATAGTAGCGAAATATTCGTCGCTAAAGTACTCAAGGTGATTTGTGGCTATTTTTGCTTTTAAAATTTGTCGTTTTAGAGTGGAGAACAGCAAGAAATTTAATTGTTGAATCGAATTCTCAACCCGTCTTCAATGGCCATGCAAGACAAGCAAACTCTCGCTGTCTTGCCCGAACATTTGAAGCGAAAGTAAATTAAAAACAAGGGAACGTTGACGTCTCCGTCTCGAGTGCAGCCTTATAAATACTAGCTTAGCCGGCTAAGGCTTAGGTATGTACAATTGTGTTTTACGTAAAATGTTCATATTTCAGCGAGTGACTTTCCTACTGCATGTTCGGCAATGTATTGAGACGTTGAATTTAGGCTAGACTTTTCTTATCTTTACTTTAAATGAGTTGAGAAATGTTGCTATAAAGTATTCAGGGTGTTTTAAAGCTAAAACTGTTTTACAATTTGTTGTTTTTAGTAAAAAGAGGAAATTACTTGAATTCTCCACGGCAAGTCAAGAAAAATCGCTATCTTGCCCGAAGTTTTATTATTATTATTATTATTATAAATTTCCAAACTAGCAGTAACAACTGAATTACTTTGGAATTACAGGGTATAAGAACATAGGTATTCAATCTGTTCTATATTTACAGGTAAAAATAGGTAAGTTAGACTGATAAAAATAGCGATAATAATCTAAAGTTTACTTATTATTATAAGCACGAGACGCCAAATAAGAGCCAAATTAAACAAGAAATGCCGAAGTCCCGGGGACTTCAGGAGGCGAGCCAAAGACTAAAGTAAGGTATGTATTTTCTATTCTAAGGTTTTATCCTACTCTAAAATGCTCGTACTCAAGGGAGTAAAAGTACTTGTCAAAAGCTAGTGACGAACGCAAGTCGCCTTGCCTTTGAAGGCGTGGTGTCGTCTTCGACTTTCATGCATCTTATACATATACACTGATCGTGAATTGAATCTTGATTTCGTTGTCTGGAGCTTAAATTAGTACAGAAACCTTTTGATAAAGTACATTCTAGTTTTTTGCAGCTAAATTTATTTTAAAATTTGTTGTTTTAGTGAAAAGAAGTAATGTTGAATTCTTAATCTTGTCGTTGGGACTATGTCATGCAAAGTCACTTTCCTGCATGAATCTCGCCAACCATTTCAAATGCAACAAGAAACAGATAAAACGCGGGTCTTACAGTTCCTACCAAAAGACATAGAGCAATTGTGATGATCTGACTAACGCTTAAAGATCGCCGCCTTGCTCAGAGCTGAAGTCTTGTACGTCAGAGGAATTAGAAACGTTATCAACACACCAGAAATGAATGCTTCATTCACCTGAGTTATTGGAAAACAACGTATGCCCGTTTAAGGCAATTAAAATTTAACTTTATGTTTCTTTATATATTTCACAAATCATAGGCGACAGCGGATATTTAACCTAAGGGGTGTCTGTCTGGGGCACACTGCCCCGAAAATGTTTGATATCTCGAGCCACCAAATGGCATTCCCTGCGCCCTGGGGGAGATTAATGACGTACAAGATCTTTCGTTTGGTTGATATCACAGTTTCGGGTAGTGAAGAATCCGACACCTTTTTATATTGATTTCTCACACTTTTGGGGAAGAGGGTTAGACCCTCTTCCTCAAAAGTTAGAGGGTTATACCTTGCAGTTACACTCATCCATTCTAGGTTAGTGAAGGGGTTATATAGCCCCTTTGCCGCTCTGCTGCCACCGCCTATGTTGAAAATAAGGAGTTTGCGAATGTACTGTAAGACCGCGACGTCGTCAAGAGGACGGCTGAACAATCTGTTTCAAACAACTGCATGATTGTATGGAAATCTCGTCTTGTATTTACTTTGGTATAAAATGAATACAGTTTCGAACGAGTAAAACAGAGTTTTAACTTTCATAGCAATCTTGATCAACTAGAAAAAACAACCTGTCACAGCTTGAAACGTGAAAATATGCAGGATGCGTGCAAATATACATCTTGCCGTCATCAACAGAGCTTGAACGACGTCTATAAAACCCCAGCTAGACTTATTACTCGTTTCTTTTGTGCTATATGATTAATGTTATTGTGTTGATATATTTTTTCTAATTTAACTTTTACGTTGAATGGATGAAGATGATAATTGCAATGTGCGTCGCTGGAAAACCCAATATACACCTACACTGTGGTAGGCATTAGAGCGTTTTTAAACCTGCACTTTCTTTTTTATTGCCCGTATTTTCTATTTTATGTCCATGTATATCATGACTCGTGGCACATAAAACTGGACCGGAAGGAGTTGAGAGAGCCCCACTCAACTGCATGTCTTGCGAACTACATTTAATGATATTTACATTTGAAATTCTCAAATTTAACACCACAACAAGCAACCATATGCTCAAAACAAAAATGGCTCTGGAGTATAAATCTTTGTATGTATAAAATAGGTACGCATTGCGTGCATGTGGCAAGCATGATCGCATACCTGGGCAGTGGCATTGCGACTTTATTATTTTTCCAAGGTCTCTGCGAGACTTCTAGTCATTCAGCATGAGTATGTGTAAAAAGAAAGGTGCCACTTTTTGGGTGTACTGTTTGTCGTGTCGAATGGCTGGAAGTGTTGCAGGTATCGTGGGATATCTAATAAAGTTGTGATGTTATTTCACAGCTGTTTCTATAAAGGGCAGCTTGCTATTGCTATATGCTCTAGCCTAAAAAGTATTCAGTTATTTTTCAACTTACAAAATATTTTAACGCTGCATGTTTCTTTACAGGGAAGCTTGCTAATGAATACAAAGTACAGTTTATTATACTACATGCCATGTCTATAAGAATGGCACCAACTGTACTTGGTATTTTTCGACCTATATAGGACAGCTATATAATTGCTATTATTATATGTTTTAGCTAATAAAATAGACTGTACAGTTGGACGTTAAGATAGGGTCATCTCTACAGGGATTGGATGACATCTCCTACTTGGTATTTTGCAACTGTGCTGCTTCTACAAAGTGCAGCACATGCTTTTGCTATACGTTTAAGCCATAAACGAAAACAAAGACTATATACATACAGCTTGTTGAGATCACATTTCCGTATGCCATGCATTTATTGCTTTTGCTATATGCTTAAGCCTTCGAAAAAAAGAACTGCAGTTTGTTAATTAGATGCCATTTTTATAAGGCAGGCATCTATTGCTGCAAGGTTATTCATTGCTGTTTCCACGAAGGACAGCTGGTGCTTTGCTATACGCTTAAACCGTAAAAACAGACTGCAGTTTGTTAAGACGTCATTTCTATGAGGATGACATCTTACTATGATCGCAATATTATTTCAGCCGTGCTGTTTCTATAACGGCAGTAATTGCTTTTGCTGTACGCTTAAGCTTTCAAATGGACTGTACAGTTTATTGACAAAACCACTAAGATTCACTCCCGTGCATGTGTGCGTTTCAGTTGCTACTTTTGGTGTATTTGGCAGCTAGAAGGGTCAATAAAATTGCTCTAACACTACTGATTGAATTAAAGACCACAATGAGCTAGTGATAAACTCGACTAGCTTAGGTAAGTCATTAAGCGTGAAATCCACGCTCTAAGCCCCCCATAAGGATCGGACCCCAAACATTTTTCGGCACCGAATGTGAAATCACCCCACCTTACCACATCGTTGACGAATAATTAACAGTTATTTCCACGAACTCGAGTCGAATATGAGCTGATAGCCGATGAGGCGCGTAGCGCCGAAGCGGCTATCGCTCATATTCGACGAGAGTGAGTGGAATAACTGTTTTATTATATACACAAGGTCTGAATTCACAGACTTTGCTTTTCGGATATTTTCAATATTTTTCTATTTTTATGTTTTTTATCTACTCTCTTTCGGCTGATTATTTTTTTCAAAATATATATTTTTAACCAATTTAAATTTTAGCAATTCATTTGCTAACCTGTAAACAATTTGTGGGAGTTTTTTCATTGTGTTTTTAATCCTATAAAGGCTATAAAAAACGAACAACTTAGCTTGCCGTTTTCTCATTCGCAAACGTCGGAAATTCAGTTTCAGCCGCCATTTTGTTTTTCGCTACTAGCAGGATATGAGCTAGTAGAGAACCAATCAGATTGCAGAATACCTTACATCCAGACCTTGTGTATACAATAATGGTGGATATCTTGGGAAAATGTGCAACACCATGATGGATATCTTGGGAAAATGTGCTATATTACATAAATTGGTACGATTGCTTAGTTACATTACTAGAGAAAGACGTCGCAAGGTTAGTGGACATTTATAATAGTAGCAATAAAATAGGAGGGGTCCCTGCGATTAGAAACAATATAATGCCGCTATTTAAGCGGAAACAATATGGCGGTTTAAAACAATATGGCGGCTTAAAACAATATGGCGGCTTAAAACAATACGGCGGTTTAAAACAATATGGCGGACTGTAATAATATCGCGAAATTAATATGTAAAAATGCTGCGCGCTAAAAATGAAAAAAATATGCCATAATATGATTACGAAACATGCTTTTTAAACCTAAATGCTAAGTTGATAAATTAAGATTTTAGTTAAGAATATTAAGTTTTTTTATTTATGATTTTCTATAAATGGGGGCCCCGGATAGTATATAATAATATGTATTATAGGATGTATTTAATTGCAATATAGAAAATAATATAGCGTTGCTGTAATATATTGTCATAGCACAATCCGATTTTGTAAAATAGATATATCAGACATATTTTTCTAATATAATTTAAATTGTTAACTTTTATAATATATGTAAAATGTGTGTTTTATAACACATGTTAAAGCGTTCATTTTTGTAATACAATTAATTGTCTACTGAAATTTAATACAACGAAATAGCATTCTACTTCGATAATTTCAATATCATAGTCGAGATCATAGTTTAATAATTATTTTCAATCTATTATAGTAATTCACGGTTTCCACGGGTTTCTACTTTCAGTAAGCCACAATAAAGCTAAATTTGTAGGAAAATATAAACATTGTTTACTTCGAATAGTCAATCAGTGATGAACCTTGACCTGTTGACCTTGTTATTACCGTCCCTTGCAACTACAGATGAACAGTCGCGAAAAGTTTGAAAATGTTTTGTTATTTTGACATAATAGCTTTTTTTCAATAAATATATTGATATTAAACTTATTGAATCAATATGTTAAGTTCCAGGCCAGTTGTACCAAAATTTATAAGCGCTTGCGGACCATAAAGGCGGATTTCAATTCAGTGCAAAATGTCGCGCGATCGACATTTTGCGATCACTTCTCTTTTGAAATACAAGCAATCAAACGCAACTGATCAGGTTGACTGAACGCATTTCAAAAGACATAGCGGAACACGGGCGGAGCCACTGGGCGAAGGAGCGCGGGCGGAAAAGGGCGAAGGAAAGGAAAGGAAAGGCAACTAAAGCCTCTGCGGAGGAGAGGGCATGCAACATGTACGCACTGCGTACCTATTTTTAATTACTATCGTAGCTAGTATAGGGCCGGTGTTTAATAAAAGGTAATTGAACTTCAGCGCGCTATTGTACGTGAATTACTCGGCGTATGAACAAATTCTTTTCATATTCGGAAAGATCAGGCTTTAAGCTATTGAATGCCATGTTTTTCATGCCAAGTGGAGAATAAATAAGCAGGTACGAGTCCAATAAGTATAGGTTAGTCAGAATCGCATGTTTTCACCTCTGTGCCTAATTAAAGCAGTGCATAAAAAATGAAAAAGCAATTAATCACGAACTTCTCGTAGCTTAGCTAAAAATTATCCCTACTTAATAATAATTATGAGTATATGTGCGTAGTTTATTCGAAGTGAATTTTCATCAACAGATAAGGCCCAAAGGGTGTTAATTTTCAATGGTTTTTAGACCCAACTCTCAACGGTAAAAATATAGTGATTCTGACTAACATTTTTTATATCGGATTCATATTTGCTCCTTTTTATCCATATTTGGCATGAAGAACATATCATTCAACAGCTAAAAGCCTAGGCCTGATCTTTCCGAATATGAACAAAACCCGTTCATACGCATGCAGAGTATAATTTATACACAATAGCGCGCTGAGGAAATTTTTATTAACCATGCAGGGAGTTTGCATGGAAATTTTAGATCGGAAGATGCAGACACTATCAAAACCAAAACTAGTGCTAAATTATCCCTGCGTTTCCTGTTCAAACTAGTTTTCATTCCAGTGTATAATATATGCATGCACTTTGATTATTTGAGTAATGTTCATGCACCGTTGCATTGAGCCACCTAGCTAATAGAAGGCCGGATCCGTTGACCCCAGTAATTTGATTCGAAATGATAGTATATTCTCTTTCTCTCTGCTGAACAAAAAAAAATTACCACTCGCTCCATTTAGAAATTCGACAGCTAATAACAGTACTTGTTCATCTCTGGGATAAATTCCTAGAATACTATCCCGTTATGAAGGGTCGATCAAGATTTGAGTCGCATGTATAATCGTCGATGCATGGTAATGCGTTAAATAAAATTTTTCCCGAGCTGTGAAATACTAACTTTAATAAATTTAGTAGTCACTACTTCGTGTAAAGGAACAAATAATAGTTTGAGGTATAATTTAAAGTAGTTAATTAAAACTAGGATTAAAACTGGGGGGGGGGGGTTTAGGTATAGGTCTGGGTTATGACTAACTTTTACGATTATATGCCTTGATAATTCGCTCAAAAACTGTTTTGGATCTTACATGAAGCATTACAAATTTAGTTAACGGTTGCTTTTAGTCCCACCACATTTGGTGTCTACTTTGTCTAACCAAGGTTTATCTCTTTGCTTCAACTACAGCAACTTGTAAATAGTAAAGCAATATTTGTAGCTCTAAGCTTGTTGTCTTGTTTGAATCTTTCTGCATATATTATTGCACGGACAAAGCCTATTATTTTGGATCATGTGGGTAAATTGAGTTAACAGTTTCATTTGCGGTAATTGACAAGGTTGCCTTGTAGGTACGTCCAGATCCTTGCCACTCGTGTATATTTTTTTACGGTAAAAATTGTATTGCCTAAGTTGACTAAGAGCCACGACAAAATAGTCGCTAACTGTATCAAAATCATTCAACCATGTACTTCGTGCTTTGTAGTGTCAATATTTTTAAAATATTTACTTTTGTTGCCGTAAGACTTGTCCTGCTATTCATGAATGATCTATAGAAGCTGTTTATTTTGGGCCACAAGAGCAGACAAACATGTCTTCTATGTTTCGTTTATACCGAAACATAACATGCATGATGATTATATTAATTCAATCGCATATCAAGTGTAATTAACATCGCTTACCTTTCCCTATCGGTCTATGATCTGTAGGATCTTGTTGGACAATCATCAGCGTAATATAAAGCTGGCCATGCTGTATACATCTTTCACGGTGCAAATTTTATTAACTAGAGAGCCAAGGCAAAATACATTTTTAGTAATTTAACCATACATTATACAATTGTGTAATCTCAATATCTGTACACAAAGCAATTTCCGTTGTAAGATCAGCTTAAGGTGGCTCCTTGATTTAAAAGAAGGAAACGAAATAGTGTGATTGGAGCCTTTGATTTCCGATTTAATTCAGAATGTTCGTTCTCTTCTCGTTACTTTAAAACCGTAATTGACACGACACATAATGTACAAATAATGTGTAATTCCACTAGCCATCTTAATTATTATTATTAATTTAGCTTGCGCTTTTGTATATTTAAAGAAAAACCTGTACGTGTAACTAATGCCGAATTTGCAAAAGTTTTCCAGCTTTGCACGCGCGTAAACTTGAAAGTTTGCATATATGTGAAAATCGTTCGTCAAGGTGGTATTCGCCACGAAGTCGAATGGTGCAAACCTATTGGAAATCTTCGGGCGAATATGAAATTTGAAAAGTTTTGCCTCGCGTGTCAACTTAATGGAAACGTAAAATTTGCAACAGGTTTGACTCGCGTGCAAATTGCAGAATACGTGATTGCCGCGCGCAGAAAGCTAATGAATATAAGCAACATATTTGCATTGCGCGCAAACAGATCGGAAACACAAGATGTGCGACAGGTTTATTTCCCATACAAAGCTGCAGAACATATTTAATTTTAGACCGTTTCCAATCGTTTTCAAACCTATGGAAAACATAATATTTGCTACAGATTTGCATTGTCTGCAAAACAGATATATTATACTGTTTTTCCTCGGTCCCAGTCAATAAGTGTTCAGTTTGAAAGTGAACAGAGGCAGGTAAAGACGACTAGAGATCCCAAAGTATTGTACAAAGTGTTAACTTTTTGCCACACCATTTCAAATTTTGCTGTTGAATTTCCTCTACAAGAAAAGTATAATTATGTAGTGTTAATTTTATTTATTATTAGCATGTCAAAATTACTGGTTGCTGATTGGTTGAGAGGAGTACAATTATTTCATTAATTGTACTGCGGTACAATTAATGATTTTCCCAAAACAAACAAAATGGCGGAAAGGTATTTTAAACACAAACGTGAACTGGAATTGCCCTAGAGGAACTAGATGAAAATAAGAACAAAACACCAAATTTTGCTTGAACAAAAGAACTAAATGAAATACAAACAAAAGCACTAAATTTTGGTTGAAAGTCTGGCAGGACTGGGCTTTGGTGAGAGAATATGATGCAAAATTTCCAAACATCACGAGTACTATTAATCCCTAATTGTTCGAGCAACATCGCATGATTACCTATACTAATTGGGTAGAACATTCATTATCTATTGTATCTGTTATTTATATCTTGAATAATCCCGGCACTTTATCCAGTTTATAACAATATTAATAAAAATTTATTTTGACTCTGTTTACATATAGCACACAAAGTGCTAGTTTGACTGAGTAACTAATATAATTGCAATAATCTATATATTAAAATAAACATTATATTGTTAAATGAAATAAATAATGTGTATGTCTAAACATCTTGAAATTCAAATTTACGAATATTTTTCTTAAATATTACGATATTGTCTGCCGCTTTAGTGTCATCTGGTAGTTTATGTACAAGCTTGTACAAATATACAATTTGTGAGAGTAAGAAACGTGAACGATACATTGATTTCGGGCGAGGGATATGCTGAATTTTAAAGTTATTTTTCTTGGCACCCTCTGCACAATTTTTTCCCTTTCATTTTTCTTTGCCTATTTCTTTTGTGCTTAAGTTCTGTTCTGAAATATCGTTGCTGTTAATTGTGAACAGATCGAAAGATATTTAATATGTGGATTCAAACACGGGGAACAGGGTGGATTATCAAGGTATATTGTTGAAGATATGCAACATGCAGGCATTGCCAAGCTACGAAAAATTTGCCTGAGGCTGAGTGCTTCGATAACACCTGCGCACTCATGCACCTTCGCCATTTAATAAGCATTGTTTTCGTTACTTGTTACAGTACTTTAGCAAACCTGTTCAGGTTATGTGCTCCTTAGCTTGTACTTAAATTGTTATATTCACTGTACGATTTTCCATTTTTTCATCTATTATTGTAAACTTTATTGGACAGTAAAGCCTAGTTTCCATTTGGTCATTAGTTGTCGCTGGCACGACAAGTGGCTGATGTAATAGAGTGTCAACAAAAAACTCTGCAATCATTAAGACTGATTTGCATATCACACAAAAAGACTATTATTATATTAGACTATTTCACATCTACCGCTTGTCGTGCCAGCGACAACTAACGACCAAATGGAAACTAGGCTTAAACAAGACATACCAAACGGCACGAGTACAAACGAGACTCGAAGTCCCATCAAAATAATTAAATTACAAAATTATTGTTACGATTACTATACTACAACCCAAATAAACATATACCAATTGTTTGAAGCTCAGGCATATTTATGTCATTTAAGTGGTTGGTTAAAGTGATTATTACTATATCAAAAAACAGCCAATACTTCATTCTACCTAGAAAATCAGAAAAACAATTACAAAAAATTTAAAAATCCACCTATCGATACTAAAGACAGTAAAATACAGTGAAGTGGCTTCAGTAGTTCAGTATAGACTTAGTGCCAAGCCCGAAATATACTTTTCTCCTAACTGCGAAAAAACAAATATAAACATCGAAAAACACTGGCAAGTGCTACGTGTTTTGATTCAAATGCTCCACATATATTCAGCTATATTCTTCGAAAATATACGTGTAACTAGAAAATACATGCATGCATGCATGCAAAAACCCTCGCCTTGCTGACAAAACCATTGTATTTTCCGAACATGAAGTATTCAAAGTAGTCGTCATCGTAACACGATAATTTTTAAAGAATATTTTACAAATGAAAAGTCCGCTAAAAATATTACTATTAATTACAAAATCAATTTGCTAAACATATATATGTTATTATACGCATGGTATGTTATTATACGCATTATAAGCTTCAATTTAAGGTAAAATTCAACCACAAACGCTTCGCAAAACGTTTTAAAGTGTTCCTTTAATTAATACAAAACTAAACTGCCTTTTATCGATAAACTTTGAGTTTGAAATAAAATGATTTCAAATTCTCGCATTCAAATACAAACTTTGCACGCTGAAATTATATGCTGTCTTTTTCATTTAAAATATACTTCAAACACTCATTAATAATTCATAAGCTTATTGGCAAATCATGTCAACCATAATATGTCACGTGCAGTGGCTTTAAACATGATAAAACACTCTTAACTAATTATAGTACTCTTTATATAAAGAATACTAATAAGGCAGTATCTATTGTAGTCGTGTCCTCATTAATATTCTTTGTATAAAGAATACTAAAAAGGCGGTATATTTATTGAATTTGTAGTCGTGTTTGAAGCCGTTTAATAAACTCGCAGGTCGTGTTTTATTAGGTCTAAAGCCACTCGCGCGGCGCGCTCGTGACTTTAAACCCAATAAAACACTCCTGCTCGTTTATTAAACAGTACGCAACGATTGGCCTTAATTAAAGCAAGTATAAAGCGAACAATGCATCGATATTTAAAACAAGCTTTTGAAATTTTTGAACTATCTTGCAAAAAGGAAATATATTTGCAAGAAATCATCAAATCAAGAAATGTTTGCCATTTCGCTGTCGTCATGCAGTCGTTATAATGCAAATTTTAAATTGGACCAATCAGTGTTGGCTGTATTCATGACATGCAGTCCGCTATATTGTGAGATCAGTGAGAATGATCACCCATCAAAACACCTTTGGTGACCACCCCCCGCGATCATTGATGAACTTTGGACTTCGCTAATGCTTTCCTTTCCCAAGGGGTAAATAGCCGGGCAGAATTAGTACCCTCGCACGACGCTCCGCGCCGTTGGCTCGGGGAATATAAATATTAAACACAAAATTTTAAAAAATACCTTAAATGGCAGTTAAAAGACGATTCCTGGGCTTATTTCGGTCAAAATTGTTTTCATAAATGTTGTAATGAACAAATTGTTTTTCGACAACTAAAATTTGTATTTTTCTGTCAAAAATAATTTTTCAAGCATATCCATGCTGTAAAACGAATCGGAAAATAAATATTTTTACTTAGTTTACCTTCTATTGCAATGAAACTAAAAGCTTTTTATTCAGCCCTTATCGCGTCGTTTTAGCAGTTTGTCAGCCATGCTTGCACTATGCCACTAAAGCAACAAACGCAACTGATCTCAAATGTACTTCGCAACCGGAATTTTATCGGAATTTCATTATAACCATGAACTATAAAATAAAAAATAAACACGTTATTTACCGTTTAGGTCGGTCCGTACTAAAAATATTTTCCCTCGACCTCAGAAGAGTCCCTCGGCCTTCGGCCTCCGGCCGCTTCTGAGACCTCGGCAAAATATTTTTTCAGTACGGACCTCGCAGGCCGGTGAATAATATATATGTATATTTTTGACAAAAACGATTTAAACATAAGCCGTATTTACACTACGAGCCTAAGCCTGGCCTAGGCCTAGCTTTGGACTAGATTTTTGTAGTGTAAACGCACTTTGGGCCTGGCCTAGGTTAGGAAATGTGGAACACCTGTTCTGATGGCCCAGATTTCCTGACCTACAATCACGTACAAAAATAATGAAACTTTACGTATTTCAAACATTTTTTTTAATTTTGACGCATCTACATTCATACAGTTTGATCTTTTCTTACTATTTCCCCCCTCCCCCCATTGACAATGTTGGGTGAATGTTTTCAGCCAACACAGTGATTTGGTATCGTGAAAACAACATTGTTTTGCGGAGAAGTGGGGGGCGAATAGAATGTCTCAATAATTTTTGCTCCTGATTGTCTCTACATATGCAAATTTTAGGCCAATTTTATGTCTAAGTTGTCCCGAGCAAATACGATTGTAACTTTTCTTTTGGTTGTCAATCTTTTTTATGTTGACTTGACAATAAATTAACGTAATTAGATTATGTATGGCAATGACTATGACGTCATCATAATATAATAAAAAATGTGATTTATACAATATTATTGCATTTGAAGGAGATTTTATATTATTTCTGGTTACAAAAATTAGTTATTTGTTTTATTTTGAAGATTTATAATCAAGTTTTCAACACACACTTGGAAAAAGAATTCTTAAAACAATTATTTGACAGCTAAGGTAATTTGATCGTAAAAAACGGGGAGAAAGATTGAGGAATTGGGTAATTTCATTAACAATTTTCATGAAATATTTGTTTTAAGCACTAGGAACGATGAATTATTTTCTCAATTTTTACAAACACTAAGTATATTACTCCAAAATATAGTACTGCAAATGTATAGAGCCGTTTTAGGCGGTTAACGCACATAACTCTACATGTTACCACATGTTACCATCATGTTACCATTTTTCCTCTATTCATTTCTATATATAATGAACATGTTACCACATGTCACCATCTATTTTATAGAATAGTATATATTATATATTATATTTTATAAAAAATAGTGGTGACATGTGGTAACATGTTCAATATATATATAAATCAATAATAGAAAATGGTAACATGAATGGTAACATGTGGTAAGGGACCGGTCATTGTTTATGGCAGGGGTGGGGGCCGAAGAGAAAATGGTGGAGTAACTGAAAAATAATACTTGCTTTAAGTGGGGTGGCCAAAAAATCCTTGCACGCAGAGGTGGGGTAAAAAAATAACCATGCTTTAATCACACACAATACAATATATACTACTAACAGAGTTTAATATGTGATTATTCTAATTTTTTAATAAAATATTATTGCTTTCCAAAATGTTGACAGAGACACCCCACTCAACCCACCCGTGAGGGGTCATTTTATTCATTTACACACAAAATCTCCAAAGACTCCAATTATCAAACAAAATATATACTGCCCATATATAGGGGTTGCTTATATGGTGCAACTGCAAGCCAACCCTGGGGTACCCAAGATGACCCAGCTGCATGGCGAGATCCTGCCTTTGTTGTTATTTCCTACTAAAGTTCACCTTGTGTATATATGGGTAAAGAGCGGGCCCAGCGAGATCTCGTCCCTTTAGCCCAAGATCTTGCTAAAGCTGGGCTAACATTCCCCTCAGGAAAAGTGAACTTTGGACATTGATGAGTAATACGCATGCAAAATACTAAACTGTTTCATTACATATTTTATGTCTGGACCTTTGACGTTGCAACAAAATATAGGTTTGGGAGGGGTAAAATCTTTTTCCAGCATTCCACCGGTGGAGTAGCTAGAAATTTTGTTTCGAAAAAGGTGGGGTAATGATTTTTTTTCGGCTGCATTATACTTTCTCTTCGGCCCCCACCCCTGCCATAAATAATGACCGGTCCCTAACATGTATGAAACCTAAGATAAATCGATGCAAACGCGCGTATTAGAAATGTCAACAGTTTTTTAACTGTTTCTCAAAGAATATTAAGACTGTAATGTTGATTTTTCAATTTTTTGCCATGTTACAATTGCGTATAATAATGAAAGCCTTGTTGTTAGTGCCTTTCAATACAATATGTGCCCAGTGTTGTGGCGATAAATTGCTTCGTTGGAAAGAGAAAGCTTCTAATACAGCGGCCGCAAACAATTCTTTGGTGGAAAATGTTCGAAGATCGACTGGGCCATATGTTATTAAGTAGGAACGCGTGGTTTCTACTATGAATTTTGTCTATCTGCTTTGCCTGCTATTTTACTTAACGATAAAATTAAGGTATGAAAATTCAAGTTTCCCGCGCTAATAGTTAATTATTAACCTTAATATAAACCAACTTGAAGACGGTATTTTCGCGAATTAAAACGTTTAGACCGACATTATAGCGATTGGTCACTTTATGTGCTATTGATAGCTTTTTGACAAAATCTATTGAATGTAACTCACTTTGTTATAACCTAGACAATCACGTGCAAAAATAATGAGACTTTACGTATTTCAAACATTTTTTTTTTATTTTGACGCACCTACACTCATACAATTCGATCTTTTCTTACTATTTCCCCCCTCCCCCTATTGACAATGTTGGGTGAATGTTTTCAGCCAACACTGTGATTTGGTATCGTGAAAACAACATTGTTTTGGGGGAAATGGGGGGCGAATAAGATGTCTCAATAATTTTTGCTCCTGATTGTAGGCCAGGCCGAAGTGTGTTTACACCACAAAAATCAAGTCCAAAGTTAGGCCTATGCCAGACTTAGGCTCGTAGTGTAAACACGGCTATAGTTAGACTGCGAAGGTCTGCAGGACAAGCTATTCTACACACACAATTCCAGAGAGGGACAATACGGTTAAAGAAAGACGACTGGAAAGTCGATTTTCACAGTTACGAGTACGATTATGACTAACAGACGACACAAAATTAGAAATATTTAAATCGTAAAATCCATTCAGCAACTTAAGGGGGGGGTACACATGGAATCATTTGAAAAAATCGATTTTCATTTTTTGAGCTAAATAGTTACTGTGGCATGTAATTGATGTTGTGAAAGTATTTATTTGCTTGAATTTAAAAAATTGTTCTGTCAGGAGCTGTTTTTAACCACCTCACTATAATTTTCAGCTTGGTTTCCATGGTAACGAAATGCAGAATCCTTCATATTTTTCATGTTTTTACCAATATACTGCTGTCCCTCCCCTCCCTAATATAAAATAATGATACAGGCTCATCTCTAGATGATTTTGCAGCGGATTTACGTGGCGATTATGCGCATAGATGCGTTTTTTGAGAACTGGTGATTCAAACAGAACAAACTCGAAAATGTGTTTCAATATTTAATAAATATTGATCACTTTTGTGTATATATTTCTTAACATATGGTTAAAAATAACTAATAATGGTTCACAGAAAACATTAAAACGAAACTTTATTCACTGGGGTGAAGAAATGCGCTATAAAGACGACGATAAAACGTGAACACATTCAGGCAATAATCGGGCATTATTTCAATTGGCATTCAATGCCAAATATCAACAGTCATCTTCGATTTGGATTCTTGGACGTCTTATAAACAGATCTTCAAACGTTTATTCTGCTGAACTTAAAAGTTGTGGATGTAAGTATTTTTCTATCATTGAATGAATGATTCTAGTATACAATAACTCAAAAATGTTAATTAATAATATAATTAGTAATTATTGCAAATTTGCAATATTATGATATCAAGAGATCGATTTTCTCTACCCAATTTTGGTACAGATATCAATACATTATCTTGCTTCATTGTTATAATTTTACTATTTTAATGCTTCTTGGTATTAATATTAATGAGGTTGTTTCTGTACTGCATTTTAGGTACTGTAATTACATGTCAAGGTGTACCAAGTTTGAGAGCTTGTTTTGGGCCGAATATGTTTACCGAGTGTACCACTTGCAGCAATAGGACAAGAATATAGTTACAGACAATGTTATCTTACAAACTCATGTAACTTGGTGTTGACAATTGATTGTATACAAAAAACTGTGGTAAATGTTGGTCTGCATGTTCCATTGGTAAGCACGATGAGTGCAGTGTGCATCTTTAAACATCCTTGTTACCAGCAAGAGGGTTCGGCAAAGAAAACTATGGAAAATTTAGCTATACCAATAGAGTAATTTAAGTTAACACACAGGAATATCTTTTAAACCAAACATGAAACTGCAGGAAAAACTAAGTTTGCTCTTAAAAGACAAGAAACAGGTCAGAAAGTCTAACCGCCAGACATCTGAAGAAAACAACAGACGTTGTCAGGTGGAGCAGCTCCAAAAGAAAACCGAGAGAAGAAGCTCTATGAGAAGTAGAAGGGACAACCTATGAGGCTGGAGGCTTCTGAAGTGCTAAAAGTACTTCTAATGACAAAAAATTAGGCTTAAGTCCCTGAAACCTGTCAGGAACAGCTCAAACAGGTGTTTAAAAACTTTAACACTTGTTTTCTCGGAACGTACATTTTCCGTCTTTGAGAAAAGATATCTCATGATGTATTTAACCAATTGTCCTGAAATTTTCAGGGCTTATTCTTTTATTAGAGCTGTCTTAATTAAGCATAGGAAATTTCTGTATCTTGTGTGGAATACATTTTATGACAAAAAATATTATCGAAAAAACCTATGTTAACTTTGTACCTCTGCTGTGACCACTAGATTTATCATACACAAAAGTTCTATGCTCATTTAAGATAATGATGCTTATACTACTTACTGATAAAATTTCTTAAAATTCCAAGCAATTTATAAGCAGATATCTTTTCTCAAATGCACCCTAGTTTTGCACAGCATGTGGTATGATTGCCCGCCTGGTGTCAGGTTACAAAGGACGTTAGGCACCAGTGATTAGTATTTTTAGTTTCTATAGGTCATAAGCTTTCTACTGATATATAGTTTGTCATAACTCTGGTGAATATCTTTAAAATTACAGCCATTTCAAAAATGACCATCAATCCATGTGTACCCCCGCCTTAACAGACTAAACAGTGATGGTGCGACCATAGTTGGGTTTCAATCTGAATCCTGTGACACTTTTATAAAATTTGGTGGTCAACTCCAAAAGGAAACACATTGAGTTCATTATTCATAACAGTATATTAATTCACCTTGTATTCAATAGCAAGTACAGAACATTTAACAAAATTTGCTCGCTTCAACAAAGCATATAAGCGACAAACGTGCAAAGTTATGGCTATGCCACATGTGGGCTATATCTCGGAAAATATTAGTCCAACAAAGGAGGAATAAAAGGAGAACACACTATCAAATAGGCAAGTCAATTTCATTTTAAAATTTATATTTTACGACATATTTTTACTATAATATACATTTATACTATAAGTCTATACTGACCCTTGCGAGATTGGGCCGCCTGTGTATGAATATAAAGTTTTCTGTTGTTTTAATGCACCTATCAATGTTTTCCCCCTGAGGGGGGGGGGGGTGCGGGCAACCCAGGGGAATTTTGACATTTTTAAAATTTTGTCGTCAAAATCCCCACTGTTGGGCAAGGAACGGCTGTCAAAATTCCCCACTATATTTCCTAAGATAACAAGGCACACATATCACATATGTTTTCCAATGCGAACATACAGTCTATACTGGTTTAAACTTGGTAAAAATTGAGACACTGTGTATAAAATACCTTTATCGATGAAACTTGATCGTGCTTCTCCGCCATACTTGTTACCAAAACCGCGCAAATTTTCAAACCGCGCAAATTACCAAATCGCATAATTACCAAATTTTCAAACCGCGCAAATTACCAAAACCGCGCAAATTTTCAAGATGGCGGATGTCAAAATTTCCCGACTCTGGGAGTTGATGCATAGGTCAAATTCCCCTCCCTGGTGCTCCATAGTGTGGTCAAAGTCCCCTGGGTCACAGAGTAGAGACATACAGAGACGTAACTAGTGTACCCACTTTTTTTGTGCGCATGCTCGGCAAGTTACTAGATGCATGCATCTGATTGGATGACGACCTGATGACGACTCACTTTAAACTTGCTGAGCACGCGCAGTTGATCATTTTTCGCCCGATCGCCTGAAAAAAAGTGGGTACATGATAACGTAATCTTCCGCAGTGTTTACAACGGTCAGTTACGTCTCTGTATGTCTTATCTACTCTGTGCCCGGGTCGCCCGCCCCCCTCAGGGGGAAAACAATGATAGATGCATAATGTTTTTGAGCTAAAAAATCTTAATATTTCCCTCGAACATTTATACTTGTTTTACAACGCGGAGCGAGGGTGCGGGTTTGCTTCGCTTGTGGATGCAGCATTTCACTACAAAGAAAAACTAATTCTTTCAGGTAAGATTCACGAAACTTTTTTATATTAAACTTTCTAGACGGCTAGAGCCTAGAGTCACTAGACCCTTCACATATTATGTCAAAAACTGCCTAATATATACAGCAAATATTTCAATAGGGGACAAAAAAGTATTGTTAACGATTAAACATTGTGTACATGAAATTATGCAATCTCGTTCCCAGAGTATGCCTGTTCGCGGGTTATGTAGTGGCATGACACTACCTAACCCGCGAACAGGCATACTCTGGGAACGAGATTGGAAATTATGTTGTTTTGTGTCAGCACTAGGCTCAGATTCCAGCCGTTGTGTTCTCGCCACTCGCCCACTTAACGGCTGGGTCAATGGTTAATATTTCTTGTCTGTGACGTCAAGGTTAATATTTAAATTTATGCATATGTTTTGCATAATTATGTATTTCTGTGCGGCATGTAGTAAAACACTGACTACCGGAACACCGGAACACCACCGGAACACCACCATTTTGTTTGGGGTTAGGGTTAGGGTTTGGGGTTAGGATTAGGGTTAGGGTTGGGGGTTAGGGTTGGGGTAAGGGTTAGGGTTAGGTGGTGTTCCGGTATTCCGGTGGTGTTCCGGTAGTCAGTGTTTTACTACATGCCTTTCTGTGCAATGTAAAATGGCGGCTGTCAGGAGCGAACAATTTTGTTTCGAAGAGGAAATAGCAAATTTTAACAACTTTGTGCATTCATCGATAACTTTTTTGTAAAGGAAAACAAAATGGAAGCTTTTAAGTTCATTTGACAAAATGTTATTAAGTTCTTGTATGTTTTTAACGAAGACAGGAACTGCAATGTACACGAGTCAATGAATATATTATATATCTAAATAGTAAAACAATAAACCCTACCAACAAAAGCAGGTGAATCTGAATAATTAAAGGGGAAGTCAAGTCCGTAATGTAAACAAACGGTTTGTTTACATTTTGAACTGCTGTATTTTTTAAAATATGATGTACTGTCTGAATATCTAACACCATTTTGGTTCGTTATGCTTCTACATGAATATGAAATAGAGTTTGTGTTCAGAAAAATTCGAAACATTCAAAATTTGGGCAATGTTTACCTCAGAGGGCCCTCTATTGTTATGCGCAGAACCGATGCGCAGAACGGACTTGACTTCCCCTTTAACGTCTTATTTCAAACAAATAGTTTTTCAATGAATATTCTTTGAAGAGGAACATAAATTTAATGTTAATATTTGAGTTGTTTATAGACTATAGTTGTACGTAATGCAATTTTACGCCTTGTGATTAATATCTAAAAATTTTCCTTATGATCGATTTTGTTCGAGGGACAGTGAAGGAACTAAGTCTTTTATAGACCAAACAATAGTCTGTCAAGATATGATCATTATGATGGTCTGGAAGCCTGCAAACTTCAAAGCTACAAAATAGAAGACCTACAGTAGTGTTTGATGTTGAACTGTACCTTACTTA